GGGATTCTCCATCTCAACCAGTAATTTCTGGTGAAATTGGATCCACTGACCCCAGCGGAGTGGATGCAGTGGATGATTCAGATACTATCATATATTGTACACCATTTACTAGATGAAGCTCAGACCACAAGAGCCATATGTCCATCTGGTAGGCAGTTATGAAGATGGGGGAGGAAGGATAAAGCAGGTGCTGGCCTCACCCATGGAGGTTCCCCCAGGATTATCAGCCACACAACCAGAGCCACCTCCAAGGGTGAACAGGACAGGATAGGCCTAACCACAAAGCTGGCTCAAAAACAACAAAGGGACTTCTGAGAGCTGACCACAGGCCCAGAAGTTGCAACTTGCCCTTAGGATACCTAAAAGTCACCAGGGGACATTCAAGACACCAAGGGCTACTGAGATTTCCTGTGCACCCAGGTTACCAGGGTGATCTGAGGACACGAGGGTCGCTCAAGTATGGATGGAGCAGTCAGATCTCCATGGGGTGCTCAGGTCACCAGTTGCCACTCAGAACTACAAGGGCCACCCAGGATCTCAGAATTCATATCCAGAACCAGTAGTGTTTCAGGGTCAGTTTTTCTGTGAAGCATCTTTCTCATCATGCCCTGCAAACTTCATCCTGACCAGTAATCAGTACACACTGTTTCCTTAACCATTTACAAACACAGATGTCTTCTAACATTTAGAGTGAACAGTCATATAGTAGTGCCGACCTTGACAGAGACCAAGCTTGGGGATAAATCAACTCATATACAGACTTCACAAGTACACGGGCCACCATTTAAAATATATATAAGTGATTTTCAAACAGAGGAGACTGACTCATTCAAGTGATCTAAATTTAATATATTTGAGCAGCTCCTCTCTCCTTTTACTTTCCTTAAGGTTTTCCTTTGATTCCCATGAAGAGAGACCATGAGGAAAGACCCTTGTGGTTGTCAAAACCCCACAGCGTCTTCATCAACTCCACGACTTTCTCTCAAGGATTCTCAGTATGTATACATTCCTGTGAGTGAAAAGAGTAGTTTCTACACTTCATTCCTTTTGTTCTCCATCCAGTTCAGGAAGCCAGACAACGAGTGGGGAGGCACACTGAGTCAAGTCTTACAAAACAGTCAGCCAGGGGTCCATTCTGCTTAACTAGTTTAGGAATCTTCCACTGGATCCACCTGTCTCTGCACCTGCCTCTCCCCAGAACATGAGGACCAGACCTTCCTCACACTCAGCTGTACATGAATTCAACTGTACTGGAGCAGATTAAGAACTCGGTTTGGTGAGTTATTTTCACTATAGTTTTCCATAGGAGCTACACTATGTTGCACTCCCATCAAGTGAATTCTAGAATTGCCTGTCCTCCACATCCTCAGCAACACTTGAGATGTTCTCCTTGTGTTTGCCTTATTTTATAATAGCCTTGCTATCAGTTGTGAGGTGATATCTCAGTGGATTGGGGGTGGAATTCTCTGCTGATTAGTGATGATGAACATCAAGTCATATGCTAACTGGACATTTGTTCAAACTTAATAGAGAAATAATCATTTACATGGTTGACCCAAATTTTAATCAGGTGATGTGTTTATTATGATTATAATTGTGATTTTTGCTATTGACATTAAGGAGTCCCTCCTGTATTTTGGATATTAACTCCTTTTCAATATTTTTAATGTAATGTCTCCCATTCATAGACTGCCTTCTCACTCTGCTACTATATTCTTTGCCCCCTTTCTAGTTTGATGTAGCCCCCCTTGTCTGCCTTGGTTCTTTGTGATTTTGTTTTTGTATCAAATAAATCATTGTCAAGCGAATGTCATGATATTTGTCCTGTGTGTTTTCTTCAAAGGCATTTTGGGTCAGGAGTTCTGCTTAATCTTTAATCAACTTTGAGATTGTTTTTGTGTTGATGTATATGTATGATGCAAATTATTGCCAAATGTCATTATTTAGCATTTATATATCAATACCATTTTTTAATGTTTCTTTTATTTTTGAGGGAGAGAGACAGATCATGAGCAGGAGAGTCACAGAGATAGAGGCAGAAATCCAGGCTCTGAACTGTCACCAGAGAGCCTGATGTGGGGCTCAAACCCACAAAGCTTGACATCAGCATGTGACTGGAAGTTGGATGCTTAACCGACTGAGCCACCCAGGCTCCCCTTGTCAACACCATGTTTAAGAGACACTATCGTTTACACACTATGCATTGTTGTAAATCTAATGGAGGATTTGCAGAGTGCATCTGCACAATTCTACTTCTGGGCTCTGTAATGAGCTCCACTGGTCTATATGTCTCATTTCATACCAGCAGTACACTGTTGTAGTTAATGTACCTCTGCAATATATTTAAAAGGAAGAAGTGTGATGTCTCCAGGTTCTCTTGTCTTCGTGATTGTTTTTGTTACCTGCATGTGTTATGTGGTTCCCTATGAATTAGTATATTTTTCAGATTCCTTTAAAAAAGTCACTGGTATTTTCATTGAGATAAAAACATAAACATAAAATTAACATAAAAAGATAAAGCAGAGGGGCGCCTGGGTGGCGCAGTCAGTTAAGCGTCCGACTTCAGCCAGGTCATGATCTCGCGGTCCGTGAGTTCGAGCCCCGAGTCGGGCTCTGGGCTGATGGCTCAGAGCCTGGAGCCTGTTTCTGATTCTGTGTCTCCCTCTCTCTCTGCCCCTCCCCCATTCATGCTCTGTCTCTCTCTGTCCCAATAATAAATAAACGTTGAAAAAAAAAGATAAAGCAGAGAAAAGATATAGACTATCACAAATACAGAAAACAAATCAACTTCATTAAAATTTGAATTTGGAAAGACAAGTGAAATTTAAAACACGAAGTTAGCCTAGGGAAATAGGTAAGACTCAAACAAATGCAATCAGAATTGAAAAAGGAGACATAACTAAAAACATGAAAAGGATTATAAATGAAAAACTTAGATATTTATAGGTCAACAATTAGATCACCAAGAACAAATTACACATTTTCTAGCATTATATAATCCACCAAGACTCTTTCATGCAAAATACAAGAGGAACAAAACAAAAATTAGTAAGAAGATATCCTAAATATAAAACTTTCACCCTCCAAAACAAACAAGGTGTTATTAAAATTCTACAATATTGAAAGAATAATTAATGCCAATACTTCTCAAACTATTACAAATCACTGATGAAAAAGACCACTCCAAAATGTACTTTATGAGGACACCTTTACTCTCACAACAAAGCCAGAGAAACACACCACAAGAAGGGAAACTACAGGCCAGTTTCTCAGATAAACATACATGCAAAAGTCCTTGATGAAATCCGAGCCTACTGAATTAAACAGCACACTGAAAGGATCATACATGATAATCCAGTGTGATGCATCCCTGGGATGCAAGTATCCTTCAACATACACAAATGCAAAAACGTGATGTCCTCCATTACCAGATGGAATTATTGAATCAAAGCCATCCTTAACTTATTCATAAAATCATGAGACAGTTTTTTCATGAACAAAAGCACATGTTCATCATTTAAAGTAACTCAATTAAAAAGGAGAAGGAGGGGCGCCTGGGTGGCGCAGTCGGTTAAGCGTCCGACTTCAGCCAGGTCACGATCCCATGGTCCGTGAGTTCGAGCCCCGCGTCGGGCTCTGGGCTGATGGCTCGGAGCCTGGAGCCTGTTTCCGATTCTGTGTCTCCCTCTCTCTCTGCCCCTCCCCCGTTCATGCTCTGTCTCTCTCTGTCCCAAAAATAAATAAAAAACGTTGAAAAAAAAAAAAAGGAGAAGGAAATTACCTCCACATGATCATGGCCACTATGAAAGCCCACACCTGACAGCATATTGAACATAACATACTAAAACCATTCCTGCCACATCAGTAGCCAGGCAATGATGGTCATCCCCAATAGAGGTATTCCACATGATAACATGAAGAATAACTATGCTGCCTCAAACCATATCATCGTGTCACAGTCCTTATTTGGATGAAAGTCACGGGAGAAACAGCCAGTCCAAGGACACTCAGACCCTCCTTTGTCCCTTGACAGCAGGATATAAATCTCCCTTGGGAAACTCCCTTCCCTGTACCAGGAGGGGAGAACCATCCTTAGCAACAGAATAAGGAACTCAGGGACAAGAAGGTTGTGCAAACAAACCTAGTTATTTGTTGACTAATTAAATACCCAAAAACCACACCTTTGCCTTGACTCTTGCCAAATCCAAAGTTTTGTTGTCTGAAAGTCACAAGTGCCACCTGCTTTGTTCATTGTCTGGGTGTCATATTATTAGGAAGCCCAGGCACTTGCAAAATGAAATTTATTCCCCCATTTAGACCAGTCTTATTTCAATTGAATCCTTAGACAGGATGAAAACCCAGAAGAAAAGAAGGGAAAGGCATTCTTCTCCTACAACTGGAAGAAGTACCCACAAACTTTGGAAATAAAAAGAAATAAAATACATTAAAATCAGTAAGGAGGAAGGAAAATTACTTCTTTGCAGATGGCATGATCTTAAAGATAACAACCCCTAGAGATACCACAAAAAAAAAATTAGAACCAGTTTTTTAAAATGAGGAAAAGTGCAGGATGCAAAATGAACGAAAATAAATAAATAAATAAATAAATAAATAAATAAATAAATAAACAAACCACCTGTGATTCTACACACCATAATGGAAATACATGCAACACAAATAACAAAATTATACAAGTGAAAATGGCACACAGTAAAGTATTGGAATTCAGCATCAAAAAGGATGTAAAAAAATGCATTCTGAAAATGACCTATGTTGATTAAAGACCTGTAAAAATGCACAAGGGCCTGCAAATATAACTGTGCTCACATATTAGAATTCTTCATATTGTCACAGCACCATCCACACAAACTAATATAGAAGTGTATCCCTAATGGTCGTTCGCTTTTAAAGAATCAAATCTAAGTGTGGAGTTTGATATATATGTCAGAGAACATGCAAATAGGGCCCTCTCTGTGATGATAAAACCAGACTAGCACCAACCCTGCAGCTGGGAGAGGAGCCCCAGCCCCAGGAGTACCAGGTGTTCCCATTCTGTGATCAGCACAGAACACAGAAACCTCACCATGGAGTTTGTGCTGGGCTGGGTTCTCCTGGTTGCTCTTTTGAAAGGTAATTCATGGTGAATGGGAGACACAGAGTATGTGAGTGGATATGAGTGAGAACCAGTGGATGTGTGACAGTTTCCTGACCAACATGTCTTGTGTCTGCAGGTGTCCAGTGTGACGTGCAGCTGGTGGAGTCTGGGGGAGACCTGGTGAAGCCTGGGGGGTCCCTGAGACTTACCTGTGTAGCCTCTGGATTCACCTTCAGTAGCTATGATATGAGCTGGGTCCGCCAGGCTCCAGGGAAGGGGCTGCAGTGGGTCGCATATATTTATGATGATGGAAGTAGCACATACTACGCAGACTCCGTGAAGGGCCGATTCACCATCTCCAGAGACAACGCCAAGAACATGCTGTATCTTCAGATGAACAGCCTGAAGACCGAGGACACGGCCACATATTACTGTGCAAGAGACACGGTGAGGGGACATCACTGGGAGCCCAGACACAAACCTCCCTGCAGGAGGGGATCAGTACCACCAGGGGGCACACACTATGCACAACTCTGGTTTGTGTTCCCAGGAGCAGGTGCAGATGGAGGTTACAGGCAGGTTTCCTGTCAGGGTATGGGACTTCCTCTCCACACAGCAGTTTCTCCAGTGGGCCTCTCTGTACACAGGATTCTGTACTTTCCTGTTCATTCCTTGACTTAGAAAGTTTGCTGTAATAGGAAAACTACACTAGCATGCACAAAAGACACAGTTGTTTGCACTTGCTTACTCGTCCTTCAATATGAATGAATTAAGAATTTCCTGAGGCACAACAGCTGACCATTAGAGGAGTCCCAGATGCACTCCCTGTGCAGCCAGGACCACAGGATCCCACAGCTCCTCCTTATCCTCACCCAGCCCTTGTCCCAATCAAACAACGTGACACTTCCCTCCTGGCTCTTGCTTCTCAGCACTTTAAATGAGCTACAGCTTTATTCAATTCCTCTTAAGAAGAGATAATTCATCTCAGTGTATTAGGATTCTCCCGAGGCACAGAGCCCAAAGCACATTGGTTTACATGACTAAATACATTGATAAGCCCCACGTTCCACTCTCACATGCTGGAGACATAGGAAAACCAGCGGTGTAATTCTGAACTACTGTCTAGTCTCAGAACGTGGAGAGCTGATGATGTAACTCTCAGAACAAGGGTCGGAGGAGACCACTGTTCCAGTTCAAACAAGCACATGGGAAGTAAAAATGGAATTCTTCCTCCCTCTGCATCGGATTCTACTCAGAACCTTAATGGAATGGGTGATGCCCAGGCAGACAGAAACCATGGATAGAAATTCCAGTCTCTTCCGGAACACATCACAGATATCCACAGAAACAGTGGGGAGACTGGGAACCTATGATGCAGTCAAGATGACACATAAAGTTAATCATGAGAAGTCAACCTCCTTTAAATGCAGAACTCAAAGACTGAAGATTTAGAAGTCCATGCCATCACTGGAGTGGGGCCTGGTGGGCATAGAAGTGCTCCTGGGGGAAGAATCCCTGAGGCCCATAGGGAGTGCTGCAGTTTGAGGATCCCCGGGTTAAATCAGCGGTGACAGTTACCTTCTTGGAGTGCATTTGGGAGGTGGGGCATTACCTCTCATGGGGCAGGAGAGCTGACAGGCACCATTGCACTGCCCTGGTTATTAGCATAGGAGCCTCTGCTGAGAGCAGCTAAATGGACGCTGCCTTCTTGTTGTTCTTCACCATGAACTCCAAGTGCTAGTGTTCATGCAACTCACCTTCTGGGACAACTAGCTCTAGCAAAGCATAGTGAGACTCTCTCCCAGAGGATCAGTGAGGTCCCTGTCATATTGAGTTCATAAAAAATGGTGTATTCAAACCCAGCTAGAGCTCCTGATATAAAACATAAGAGGCCTGAGCTGCCAGGTAGGGCAATGCTTTGGATACAGACAAGGTGAAGGCAGGGTTCTGAAGGAAGCCTGGGACCCACAAGTACAGATTGTTCTCTTTGTGTGAAGGCTTCCTGAACAGGGGAGGCTGGGAACTCCAACTCCAGGAACTAGAGAGGGAGATAATGCCAATATTTCCTCCCACCAATCAGCATGGACAGAATTCAGTAAGCAGCTCAGCACCTCCCAGTAGAAACTGAGCCACTGACACCAAGCTATACCCCCCTTGCCTTCCTTAGGTGCTTCCTTACTAGGGAAAGAGTGCCTGGAACCCAGACCAGCATTGCGCACCTCTTTCCAAACACCACCATATACCCGCACAGGCACCAAGTCTACTGACCATATAGTGAGGCATAGCCTCACCTATAGGGGAGATATGAATTAGCCTCTTTTATTAAGCACACCAAACTCACCTAGTTAAAACTCAACACTATGGACAAAGTTGAAAAACTCCCCACTTGAGGCAAGGAGAAACTCTGCAGAGGACTGACCTGAGGGACAGAGCAGACAATACATGACAGCACAGTGCACATGGCACATGCAAGAAATGCTCCCAGAAATTTCAGGTCCTCAACAGTATGTAACACTTCTCAATAAAGACACTACTCTAGAAGCAGAAAACATAACAGGATTTTCCTAAAACACTTAAGAAAGTGGAGTCATAGACATACACCATGATGGAGGAATTCATTCTAAAAGAGAAAACGATAAAAGGACATTGCCAGGGATAAAATTAAAACACATATAAATAATGTGCCTCAAACAGAATTTAAAACCTATCATAAGGAAACATAACTTTTAAAAACTATCATAAGGATACTAGTTGTACATGTGGAAAGCCTAGAAGACATGAGGATACCCTGACTACAGATAGAAAAGACCTAAAACACAGGCTGAAATTTTTAAAATGTTGTAACTGATCTGTGAAAATGATTGGATATAATGAACTCAAGGCAGAAAGAATCAGATGAATGAGTAAGTGACATAGAAGATAAAATTATGTGAGAAATGAAGCAGGAAAGAAGAGGAAAATTAACATATTGCATCACAAACGTATACTTAGGGAATCAGCAACTCCATAAAGTGTAATAAAATTGTTTTCAATGGAGTCCCAGAAGAAAAGAGGAAGAAAAAAAGGGAGAACTTTTATCTGAGTGCATTATAATGCAAAATTTCTACTAAATGGTGAAGGAATCAGACGTCCACATCTATGAGTCACAGAGAACTCCCATTAAAATAAAAAAAAAAAATCAGGCCAACTCTGAGACATAAGATAGTAAAGTTCAGAAAATACACAAATAAAAAAAATCCTGTAAGCATGAAGACAGAAGAGTTCACTAAAGAATATGGGAAGATAAAAAAAGATTATGGCAGAACTGTCCACAGAAAACTGCAGGCAAGAAGGGAGTGGCATGATATCCTCAAATGCTCAAATGAAAATTAGGCAGTCACTGGGGGACGAGACAAGATGGCGGAACAGCATGGAAGATTTTGTGTGTCTCGCATCAATGAAATACAGCAAGACCAACATTAAACCATCCTACACACCTAGAAAACTGATTGAGGATTAACACAACAATCTGCACAACCTCAACCACAGAATTCAGCAAATACGTGGCGTGAAGAGGTGGCCTTGGGGAGCAAGAAACCACGGCAAGGGAGGTGCTTTTGCAGGCGGAGAGAGGACAGAGATGGGGAGTGGGTGAGAATATGGGAAAAGCACCCCTCCCCAAAAGCAGCTGGAGAGAAAGTGGAAAATTGGAAACATCCACAGGGACTAAACTAAAAAGGGAGAAAGGAGAAAGGAGAGGATTTAAATTCCATTAAGACTGTAAACAAGGGGAGCGAAAAGGCTGCAACTCTGCAGCTCCATACCTGGTGGTGTTCTGCTGGGAAAGGTGAATTCCCAGGAACAGAGTGGGGTTCACGAGGTTCTTGAGCCACACAGGGAGAAGTGGTTCCACTATTGGTAGGAAATTCTGTAGACACTGTGAAAGCCACCTGGTCCTAGAAGACCCCAGAAAATGGCCACATTTGCTGGTGCTGGAACAAGGTCGTTTAGGGTGAAGCCTGGTGCCAGACGTGTGTTGTGATTTTCCATATTCCCTGAAACGCTGCTGCTACACTCTCTCACGAACTTTTTCTTGGGGAGGCTAGCACCTGGCCACAGTCTCAGGGCACTGGCAGCAGCAGGGTACAGCAAACATTCCTGCATGCAGCCGATATTTGGCCACTGCTCATTCGGCCATTGCTCCATGAGACCCTCCCACAGAGGAGCAGAACAGGTCAATCCACAGTCCTTTGGAAGTAAGGGGCCAGGGAAACCGCCACATCTGAGACAAAACTTGGGAGAGAGGTGCAGCCTGGGACCTGGACATGGAATGTGAAGGAGCGGGGAGTGGAAGACAGCTGAAGACAGAGGAAGGGTGTGCGATTGCTGATCCGGGAGAACAGACTGGGTAGCCGGGTGGCACCATTTTCACTTCTCCCGTGCAGGAGCATAGGCACCTACAAGCACAGCAACAATCCACCCCAGGAGGCTAGAAGCGCCATCTAGTGGAGAGTGCAGCCATTACACTGAGCCCCTCCCAACTGGGCCAACTGGGCTCTTCAGGAACACAAGCCTCACTGCCAGCTTAGTTTATGGACTATAAAGCGCTACATCTAGGGTATAACAAAGTAATTTCAGTCCTACTCCAATCTGTTAGCAGGTTCATCTAGTCAATTTTCTTTCTTTATTTTTCTTTTTCTTGAATGCAGAAAGAGAAAAAATTCATTTTTATTAACGATTTTTATTAAAAATATTTTTCTTTTATTTTATTTCTATATATTTTACATTTGTGTAATTTATTTCAAAGTGTATTTTACTTCCATGGTTTTATTTTAGTCTACTTCAGTGTATTCCCCTTTTCAAATTTCAAAACAATTTCCTTTTTATTTTTTTATTTTTTTCTCTTCTTCGTTCCTGTAGTTTTTCTTGAACGCAGAAAGAGAAAAACTTCATTTTACTTTCAATTTCTTTAAAAATATTTTTATTCAAATTTCCTACTATATTGTATGCTTTTTGTAAATTTTTTCAAGTTCTATTTTACTATCATCATTTTGTTTTAGTCTACTACCATATATTCACTTTTTTGAATTTTCAAACGATTTCCTTTTCCTCCTTTTTTAAATCTTTTTTTCTCTTTTTAATTTCCTTTCTTTTTTCTTGAATACAAAAAAAAGAAAAAATCACATTTATTTTTAATTTTTATTAAAAATATTTTTCTTTCCTTTTTTCTACTATGTTTTTTTAATTTTGTGTAATTTTTTTCAAACTCTATTTTACTCCCATCATCTCATTTTAGTATACTTCAGTGTATTCATTTTTTCAAATTATCAAATGATGTCCTTTTTTTTCTCCCCTCCCTTTTTTTTTCATATCTGTCAAAACACTTTCAACACCCAAACCAAAACATACCTAGGATCTAGCATCATCTATTCAATTTGTGTGTGTGTGTGTGTGTGTGTGTGTGTTTAATTTTTAATTTTAATATTCTTGTAATTTTATCTTTTTTTTCAATTTTGCGACCTCAATAATTCCTTTTCTCCCTTCAAAATGACAAAACGAAGGAATTCACCCCAAAAGAAAGATCACAAACAAACAATGGCCAGGGATTTAAGCAACACAGATACAAGCAAGATGTCAGAACCATAATTTAGAATAAAAATAATAAGAATACTAGCTGGAGTAAAAAATAGATTAGAATCCCTTTCTACAGAGATATAAGAAGTAAAAAATAGCGAGAATGAAATTTAAAATGCTATAACTGAGCTGCAATCACAGATGGATGGATGGCACGGGTGGATGAGGCAGAACAGACAATCAGCGATATAGAGGACAAACTTATAGAGAATAATGAAGAAGAAAAACAAGAGGGAAATTAAGGCAAAAGAGCAAGACTTGAGAATTAGAGAAATCAGTGACTCATTAAAAAGGAAAAACATAAGAATCATAGGGGTCCCAGAAGTGGAATAGAGAAATACGGGTGGAAGGGTTAGGTGAGGAAATCACAGCGGAAAAATTTCCTAACTTGGGCAAAGACACAGACATCAAAATCCAGGAAGCACAGAGGACTCCAATTAGATTCAACAAAAACTGACCATCAAGAAGGCACATCATAGTCAAATTGACAAAGTACTCAGGCAAAGAGAATCATAAAACCAACAGGGAAACAAAGTCCCTAACTGTCAAGGGAAGACAGATCAGGTTTGCAGCAGACCTATCCACAGAAAGTTGGCAGGCCAGAAAGGACAGACTGTTGGGATATATTCAATGTGCTGAAGCAGAAAAATATGCAGCCAAGAATTCTGTATCCAGCAAGGCTGTCATTCAAAATAGAAGGAGAGATAAAAAGATCCCCATACAAACAAAAGTTAAAGGAGATTGTGAGCACTAAACAAGCTCTTCAGGAAATTTTAAGGGCGACTCTCTGAGAGGAGAAAAGATGAAAATATATCTATATAAATAAATAAATAACAAAATAACAAAGATTAGAAACACAAGAGAACACCACCAGAAAGTCCAACTCTACAAGCATCATAATGGCAATAGACTCATATCTTTCAGTATTCACTCTAAGTGTAATTGGACTCAATTCTCTAATCAAAATACATAGGGTAATGGAATGGATAAGAAAACAAGATCCATCTGTATGCTTTTCATAAGAGATGCATTTTAGACCTAAAGACACCTCCAGATTTAAATAAGGGGATGGAGAACAATCTATCATGCTAATGGTCAACAAAAGAAAGCCGGAGTAGCCATACTAATATCAGACAATCTAGACTTTAAAATAAAGACTGTTTCAAAAAATGCAGGAGGGCATTATATCATTCATAATCAAGGGGTCTATCCACCAAGAAGACCTAACAATTGTAAACATTTATGTGCCAAATGTGAGAGCACCCAAATATATAAATCAATTAATCACAAACATAAAGAAACTCATTGATAAGAATACCATAATAGTAGGAGACTTCAACACCCCACTCACAGCAATGGACAGATGATCTAATCAAAAAATCAACAAGCAAACAATAGCATTGAATGACACACTCAACCAGATGGACTTAACAGATATATTCAGAACATATCATCCTAAAGCAACAGAATATGCATTCTTCTCCAGTGCCCATGGAACGTTCTCCAGAATACACCATATACTGGGGCACAAATCAGCCCTAAGTAAGCACTAAAAGAATGAGATCATACCATGCATAATTTCAGACTACAATTGCCATGAACTCAAAATCAACCACAAGAAAAAATTTGGAAAGGTAACAAAGACTTGGAGACTGAATAAGATCCTACTAAAGAATGAATGGGCGGGGCGCCTGGGTGGCGCAGTCGGTTAAGCGTCCGACTTCAGCCAGGTCATGATCTCGCGGTCCGTGAGTTCGAGCCCCGCGTCGGGCTCTGGGCTGATGGCTCAGAGCCTGGAGCCTGTTTCCGATTCTGTGTCTCCCTCTCTCTCTGCCCCTCCCCCGTTCATGCTCTGTCTCTCTCTGTCCCAAAAATAAATAAACGTTGAAAAAAAAAAAAAAGAATGAATGGGCTAACCAAGCAGTTAAAGAGGAAATTGAAAAGTATATGGAAGTCAATGAAAAACATAACACCCCAACGCAAACCTCTAGGATGCAGCAAAGGCGGCTATAAGAAGAATGTATATAGCAATCCGGGCCTTCCTAAAGAAAGAAGAAAGATCTCAGATACACAGCCTAACCTTACACCTTAAGAAGCTGGAAAAGAACAGCTAATAAAACACAAAACCAGCAGAAGACAGGAAATACTAAAGATTAGAGCAGAAATTAATGTTATCGAAACCAAAGAAAAAAATGGTACAACAGATCAATGAAACTAAAAGCTGGTTCTTTGAAAGAATTAACAAAATTGATAAACCAATATCAGATTGATCAAAAAGAAAAAGGAAAGGACCCAAATAAATAAAATCAAGAATGACAGAGGAGACATCACAACGAACACAATAGAAATAAAAACAGTAATAAGAGAATATTATGAACAGTTATATGCCAATAAAATGGGCAATCTGGAAGAAAGGGACAAATTCCTAGAAACATACACACTACCAAAACTGAAACAGGAAGAAATAGAAAATTTGAACAGACATATAACCAGTAAGGAAATGGAATTAGTAACCAAAAATCTGCCAAAAGACAACAGTCCAGGACCAGATGGCTTTCCAGGGGAATTCTACCAAACATTTAAGGAAGAGTTAACACCTATTCTCTTGAAACTGTTCCAAATAATAGAAATGGAAGGAAAACTTCCAAACTCTTTCTATGAAGCCAGCATTACCTTGATTCCAAAACCAGACAGAGATCACCTCAAAAGGAGAACAAAAGACCAATTTCCCTGATGAACATGGATGTAAAAATCCTCAACAAGATATTATCAAACCAGAAACAATAATACATTTAAAAAAATTATTCACCACGACCAAGTGGGATTTATACCTGGGATGCAGGGCTGGCTCAATATCTGTAAAACAATTAATGTGATTCATCCCATCGATAAAAGAAAGAACAGGAACCATATAATCCTCTCCACAGATGCAGAGAAAGCATTTGACAAAATACAACATCCTTTCTTGGTAAAAACCCTCAAGAAAGTAAGGATAGAAGGACCATACCTCGAGATCATAAAAGCCATATATTAAAGACCCAATGCTAATATCATCCCCAATGGGGAAAAACTGAGAGCTGTCTCCCTAAGGTCAGGAACAAGACAGGGATGTCCACTCTCGCCACTGTTATTCAACAGATTATTGGAAGTCTTAGCCTCTGCAATCAGACAACACAAAGAAATAAAAGGCATACAAATCAGCGAGGAAGGGGTCAAACTTTCACTCTTCACAGATGACATGATACTCTATATGGAAAACCCAAGACTCCACCAAAAAAACCGCTAGAATTGATTCATGAAATCAGCAAAGTGGCAGGATACAAAATCAATGCAGAGAAATCAGTGGAATTTCTATATACCCACAATGAAGCGACAGAAAAGAAAACAAGGAATCTATCCCATTTACAGTAGCACCAAAAACCATAAAATACCTAGGAATAAATCTAACCAAAGAGATGAAACTCTATACACTAAAAATGATGGAAACCTCATAAAAGAAATTGAAGATGACAAAATATGGAAAAAGATTCCATGCTCCTGGATAGGAAGAACAAATATTGTTAAAACGCTGATAGTACCCAAAACAATCTACATAATCAATGCAAGCCCGATCAAAGTAACACCAGAATTCTTCACAGAGCTAGACAAATAATCCTAAAATTTTTATGGAACAGAAAAGACCCCGAATAGCCAAAGTGATCTTGAAAAACAAAACCAAAGCAGGAGACATCATAATCCCAGGCTTCAAGCTATACTAAAAAGCTGTAATGATCAAGACAGTATGGTACTGGCACAATAACAGACACTCAGGGGCATCTGGGTGGATCAGTCAGTTAAGCGTCTGACTTTGACTCAGGTCACGACCTCGTGGCCCATGAGTTTGAGTCCCGCAACGGGCTATGTGCTGACAACTCAGAGCCTGGAGCCTACTTGGAATTCTCTGCCTCCCTCTCTCTCTCCCCTCCCCCGCTCATGCTCTGTCTTTGTCTCTCAAAGTAATAAATAAACGCCAAAAATTTTAAAAACAAAAACAAGAACAGACACTCAGATCAATGGAACAGATACAAAACCCAGAAGTGTACCCAAAAACGTATGGCCAACTAATCTTTGACAAAGCAGAAAAGAATACGAATGGAATAAAGAAAGTTTCTTCAGCAAGTGTTGCTGGAAAAACTGGACAGCGACATTCAGAAGAATGAGCCTAAACCACTTTCTTACACCAGTCACAAAATACACTCAAAATGGATGAAAGACCTCAATTAAGTCAGGAAACAATCAAAATCCTTGAGGAGAAAACAGGCAAAAACATCTTTGATATTGGCCACAGCAACTTACTACTCAACACGTCCCCAGAAGCAAGGGAAACAAAAGTAAAAATGAACTTCTGGGACCTCATTGAAATAAAAAGCTTCTGCACATTGAAGGCAAACAATCAGCAAAACTAAAATTCAACTGACATAATGGGAGAAGATATTTGCAAATGACATCTCAGATAAAGGGTTAGTATCCAAAATCTATAAAATCCAAAGGGTTAGTATCCAACACCCAAAACACAAATAATCCAGTGAAGAAACGGGCAAAAGACATGAATAGACACATCTCCAAAGAAGACATCCAGATGGCCAACCAACACATGAAAAAATTCTCCACATCACTCACCATCACGGAAATGCAAATCAAAAGCCTAATGAGATACCACCTGACACCTGTCAGAATGGCTAACATTAACAACTCAGGCAACAACAGATGTTGGCAAGGATGCAGAGAGAGGATCTCTTTTGCATTGTTGGTGGGAATGCAAGCTGGTGCAGCCACTCTGGAAAGCTGTATGGAGGTTTGTCAAAAAACTAAAATATAACTACCTTATGACCCAGCAATTGCACTACTAGGCATTTATACACGGGACACAGGTGATCTGTTTTGAAGGGACACATGCACCCCCATGTTTATAGCAGCACTGTCAACAATAGCCAAAATACGAAAGGAGCCCAAATGTCCATCGATGGATGAATGGATAAAGAAGATATGGTATATATATATACATACAATGGAGTCTTACTGGGCAATCAAAAAGAATGAAATCTTTCCATTTGCAACTACGTGGATGGAACTGGAGGGTATTATGCTAAGTGAAATTAGTCAGTCAGAGAAAGACAAAAATCATATGACATCACTCATATGAGGACTTTAAGAGACTAAACAGATAAACATAATGGATGGGAAACAAAAATAATATAAAAGCATGGAGGGGACAGAGCATAAGAGACTCATGTATGGAGAACAAACAGAGGGTTGCTGGAAGGATTTTGGGAGGGGGATGGGCTAAACTGGTAAGGGGGACTAAGGAATCGAATCCTGAAATCATTGTTGC